CCAACATAGGGTACATATAACATGTACTGGTATGTGCTATATCTTGGGCCTCTGTGAGCCTGCTACGAGGGTCTTGCCCACAGGCCATATGTACCATATCTTGGCTCAACTAAGAGGAACTAGTGCGTGACATTCCAGCTGACTACCAAATGCAAATGATGCCACAAAGACGGGTACACCACAATCGTTGAGCTCACTATGAATGGTCTGGTATCAACCTTGTGAAAAGTGTCGCACATATATCTTAAATAAAACCTATGAATACCCTCCCATCATTAAAGGTAGCTTTTATTCAAGTACTACCTTAAAGGCCTATGTTAAAGAATAACTAAAGTCTCACATTGGTGGTTAATGAGATGAGTGAACTCCTTATAAGGCTTGGACAATCATTTTTCTTTTGAGCTAGCTTTTGGGGTGTGAGTTAGGTCTAAGACCTAATTTAATATGGTATCAGAGCAGGGTTTGTCTCACCCAACGTTGGGGCCCCCAAAATCAAAATTGTCACGCACCAGATGCTAAGCACTAGGCGTGATGTGGGGTGTTAAAGAATAACTAAAGTCTCATATTGGTGGTTAATGAGATGGATAGACTCCTTATAAGGCTTGGGCAATCCTCCTCCTTTTGAGCTAGCTTTTGGGGTGTGAGTTAGGCCTAAGACCTAATTTAACAGCCTATAATAAGTAAATTACGACAAAGATCATTTAGCCACTCAAGTAGAATCTCTATATAGCACTTAAATTTCAATAAACATGATATCTAGTTATTCAAGTCATCAAGTGCTAATTCTTGTTTTATCTTATGACCAAGTTGCCTATGTGTTCATATATACAAGCGCGACCATATTGTGGCTGTTTGTTTTCATTTATATTTCAAGTAAAGATACCTATAATGATGTGAAATATTATATGAATACTTTGTAATATCTCAAAAGGAATTATTTTACCTATTCTTTGTTGATTTGTCAAAATGAACAAGTAATAAGGAACAACTAAAAAAGAAAAAGTAGACAAGTAATTAGGGCATAGGAAGTATTATTCTTGTTCTAAAGGGTCTTTCAATACCCATTTTCTGGCCGAATCCTCTTCTTATATAAAGTGTCATCACCTCTTGTTTTTTTGGGAGAGACAAAGTGAAGTATACAAATATTCTTTCTCCAAAATTCTTGTGCTGGTTTTATATTAAAGAATTTTTTTAGTTTCTGACTCCTAATTTTATATTAGAAGAACTTGTTGAATTCGGGGATACACCTATAACGGGTGAAATATCTTTAAGGATAGGGTTTTTCGACACGCTTCAAGCTATGAAAATTTCCTACAAATGTTCATGATAAAAATATTTTCCGTAAGATTTCCAACATACTTAACTCAAAGGAGATCTATGAATATTGTCACTTCAACCAATAGGCGTACGAAGTACGAAGACAAGAACTTTCAAGTAAGAAGAGCATATGAATATTTTGGCCATATTAGGCATGTTGACTTGTAGAAAGTTAAGGCTCTGTTCACATATATCAACTGCACTGTCTCCCTTTAAACTGAGAATGCTCAGCTGAAGGTTGACATCAAGACTCCTCAGGACGAGATCACACCTTAAGAAGAAGATAATACAAGAGCAGTTGGTGCACAATGGGTGTATTGAAAAAACTGCTATAGGGCGTTGAAGCTTACTGCTAGCCGCACCTACTGCATATTCTGAGAACTGGTCTAGTAGTTGTTAGGTGTGATCAAGTTTGTAATTGTTTGTTTATTGAAGTTTTGTTTGTTAAGCAAGAGTCACTATGTGTGTTGAATGTTGGTTTGTAGAATGCTAGAGACTTAGAGTTATAAGTCTTTGTTGAGTTTATTAGTCGGAGTAAACAGATTTGTTCGAGGTATTGAAGGTAGTTCGTTTGATTATTGAGTTGTAATCTAAAATCAGTCTTTGAAGTTTAGGAACATTGCTAAAAAACCTACACCACTGTAGGTCTTTTACATCGTTGAAGTTTAGTGAAGTTAATATAAAGGCCATATTAGTGTGATAATTTTATCGTGTACCTACTACCTCCCACTGGCGTAGGTATTTGTTATTCTGCCTAGGCAGATGGAAATTTCTAGCCTTTTTTGTTTGTGCTGGAACTTGAGCGGTAATCTCATTCATTTCATTGATCACTAGAAAGCGGTGGCAGATCGCAATTGTAATCAAGTAGTGGGAAGGGGATCCAATCTTAATTCTAGAATTGACTTCTTCTAACTCAATCATCAATCTACATTGTTCCTTTGGCGTATTATATTAGTTTTTACCACCAATCTTTTCTACTTGGTGGTACTATGTTAGTTTTTACCCTTAAAATTTACTCCATCTCTGAAGCCTCACTATGTGGTATCTCTTAAGCCTTTTTGTGGCCCCAAATTGTGTCCGGGTTACAAGTACCTTCAAATTTAAAGAAGTTGGTACTATTCGGGACTGATATAGAAAGAGCAATTTCCTTCATTGCGGGATTACCAAGCCTGGAGTATCTCCAGTTACAAGATCTGTATCTTATAGATTCTGAACCGAGTTTTTCTCAATCAAAAGAGTGGTGCCTTCGAGATATCACGTTCCATAAACTGAAGTTCTTGAAACTGTCGTGCTTAAGTATCTCAAGGTGGGATGCCTCCTTTCCCCTACTCGAAACACTTGTTATAAGAGCATGCGACAATCACAAGGAGATCCCCCTTAGCTTTGTAGATATTCCACCACTGAAACAGATTAAGTTGATTTGGTGCAACAACAAATCTCTGGAGGCTTCAGCTGTGAGAATTAAGGAAGAAGTAGAAGCCATTGAAAGATGTGACTGTGTTGACATCACTACCCAAGTAAGTAGAAACAAACTCCTATGTGCTGTTTTTTGAGTATGTATGTGCATCTAATGTGCAAACAATATGCTCAATACAGAATTTGGGGGGAAGGAATATAAGGAGGCTGTGAATCAAGTATGTACCTGTAACCACAACCATGGTATTGTAACACTACTACTGATTGCTAAGTTTGTCTTGATTGATCATCTCTTTTTCTGTATGATTGGAGACAAATATATATCAGATGGTCTTTTACTGTGATTTCTTGTTGCCACTGTCAAATCATTGTTTCATTTTTGTTTTTGAGCATCATAGGAAGCCAGATATATCAATATCACCTGTCAAACCCCTAATCAGCTTTCCAGGAGGACAATGGCAGTCCCTGAAATTAATGAGTATAAGTTAACGACAATGTTGATAATATATGGTATAGCCACACAAATCTTATGACAGGTTTAGACAACCCCTGAAGTAATATATTGTTAGCACATTCATTATGTTAGAACGATATTTGATTTATTGGAGAGTGCTACCCAACTTCAAATACTACACCTTACCTTTGAGTGGTCCACCATTGTATCCGAGTTACACTTGCCTTCAAATATAAAGATGTTGGTACATACGGGGACTCATATAGAAAGCACGATGTCTTTCGTTGCAGGACTACCAAGTGCACTGTATTTGTGAAGGATTCAAAATCAAGAAAGAAGTCAAAGAGATTGAAGGATGCGATTGTATAAACCTCATCATTATCAAAGTAAGTAGAAACTGTGAAAAATTAAAATTGAATTTTTGGAGGTACAAAATATATCTTAGATATTTAGTAGAACTTTCTAGAATTTTATATCTTTGATATTTGTACTTAAGTAAAATCTAGAATAGTCTAGGATAGTATCTAGGATAATTATCTTAAAGAAATATCTAGATATTTAGAAGATAAAGTTTACTAGAATTTTCTTTGTAGATGTATCTAGAAGAATTTCTAGAACCATCCATGAACAAGTATAAATAGAGGATGATCTTGTACATTTGTAATCAACCCAAACCCAACAAACCCAAGACAACCTAAGAACAGCTCAAATAAAAGAGTTTTCTTCCATAAACAAGTTCTCTTTTCTAGTTTTCTCTTCCTTAGTTGAATCTTCCGATCTTAGTTAATGATCTTGGGCTAGCAGAAGGGTTCTCCAATTATACTTTTCTTCTGCTATTCTCTACAGAAACAAACACCTATGTTCTGTGTTTTGAGTATCTATGTGCATCTAATTTGATAACAGCATGTATAATACAGTGAGGAGAGCTATCACTAGCAACTGTGAGTCAAGTGCCTGCAGAACATTATACAAGAGAATCCGCAACTTCATTTTGCGAGAGATCTTTCAATCAATACTTTTTGCTACATGGAAAGCAGTTTGAATAAAGCAGTATCATAGTACTATTAGCACTCTACTTTCAATTATCAGAAGAATATCAAGAAATGGCTCCAAAAGGTACACTGCTGTTGGCCTTCGTACAGATGCGGTACTTTGGGCACTTGGGTTACTTTGAATGAGCACACATGCTGTCTCCTAGCACTGCACTTACTGTTTTTCTTTTGTTTTATATAAAGGCCACATTAGTTTGCCTACGATAATTTTATTATGTACCTACTACCTCCCACTAGCATAGGTATTTGTTAATTCTGTCTTTGAATGAACACACATGCTGTCTCCTAGCACTGCACTTACTGTTTTTCTTTTGTTTTATATAAAGGCCACATTAGTTTGCCTACGATAATTTTATTATGTACCTACTACCTCCCACTAGCATAGGTATTTGTTAATTCTGTCTACCAACATTTATGCAAATGGGAAATTTCTTGCCTTTCTTTGTTTGTACTGAACTTGAGCGTAATCTCAAATGATTTTCACCCATTTCATTGATGACTAGAACGCGGTGACAGATCGCAATTGCAAGCAAGTAGTGGAAAGGGTATCCAATCTTAATTCTAGAATTGACTTCTTTCAACTCAATCATCATTCTACATTGTTCCTTTGCGCACTATGGTAGTATTTACAAGCAATCTTTTCTACTTGAGCCTAATCAAGTAGAAGATAATGCTGATCAATCAAACGTCAAAAGAGGTAGCAGAGAGGGTCTGTTGCCTAAATGTCCAGTTGATACCTTACTTTGCAAATTGCAAATAACAATGCAGTGGACCAAATTGACCTATGAAAGGGGAGAAAAGAGCTATATGATGAAAAGTTGTGCAGACAGATTCTGTTCTTTTAGCACATGCTAATGATTCCTTTTGTTCCTTATGGCTAACAATCAAAATGTGCCTTATCAAATCAAACAGAGACGAACAAAAAAAAAAGCATAACAAATATTCAAACTTTTGGCTTTCTATGAACAAATTTGCAGTTTCCAGAGTGCTGATGCTGATTAATCAAGTAGTAGCAGTGTTGCTGAGTGTTCAAGATCATGGTTTGATATTTGATCTACATGACTAGCTGGCCATAGTAACAAGACCTCCATCTTACCATTGACATCTGACAACGCAACTGTAAATTGTTACGAATAGCTTATCATCACAAAAAAACATGTCATGTGGAATAAGTATGAACTCTGCTTTACTCATCCAAAGAGTTAATATCTCATATGTCACTCAACTAATAGTTATTTTCATAGAAAATCACTCAAGTTTTTTTATAACTTCAAAGTCAACTCAACTAATGGTTCATTTCATGTAAAATCAATCAACTTTCTTTTATAACTTCAAAGTCAGTCACGACCAATTGGCACCCAACCGAAAAAGTTAGTACCTTAACTCCACCATTTAGCCTAGAATATGCAAGTTTGAGCAATTTTCTTAAGAAGACAAGTTCAAAACAAATTCAAAGATTGGAATAAATCAAACAGTTTCCAAATACAGGTTTGGATGTAAAAGAAAACAAACTCAAAAAATTTCAAATGAGGAATGACATCAATTCTTACTAGCACATCTTTGTGCAAATGAAGGCAATATCAATCTTGCGTATATGATTCAAACAAAAAAAATGGTTGGTTCTGACTACCTTGCCGAGCAAACAAATGATCTGAAGACTGAAATCACCTACATATTTTTCCCTTTTAAAACAAAAAGATACTGCAAATTAACCAACCTCCTCAGCAGCAATAGCAGGAGCAGCAGGAGGAGGAGGAGGAGCTTGCCTCAATCCAGTTTCAACATCCCCTGCTGCTGCTGCCGTTGTGTTCTGTTCCAGCAACGATTGTCGGCATGTTGGACATGAAGAATGTAAAGCCAACCAAATATCTATACACTTCACATGAAATCCATGGTGACATTTCGGCAAAACTCTCACTTTTTCACCATCAACGAATTCTCCCAGGCAAATGGGACAATCAGTAGCCGGAATATTAACTCCTGATCCATAAACAGAGAGGGGAAGTTGCCTCAGTGTGCTCTTTTTCAGCCCTGTTGCAGCTAATCGTGCAGTTTCTGACTCGAAAGCAAATCTCCTGCTGCAACGTAACGCACATCTCACAATTGAATTCAATCCAAGAGCACATATTAATGCACAAAGCAGAGCAGCTAAAATGATCACCATGTTTGTATCGAAATTCGCTTCGTTTGAGTAACCATGGTGAGGTTTGCTTATTGTACTACTAGGTGGAATTACAGGATGTGGATCAAGAAGTAGCCTATAAGGACGATGATAAACCTCCATGATCTTCAAATTCCTAATCTTGGATTTTTGCACTAGAAGAAGAAGAAGAAGATTATACACAATTCTTCGCAAAAATTGGAACTGGACTAAACCAATTCAAGTTTAAATCATGTAGAGTGTTATAGAAGATACTCAACTCCACAATTAACACACTTCCGAGAAAAAACATAGATTATTAAAAGATCCTATTAAGCACAACGATCATTGTAAATTCACAAATTAAAATGCCAGTGAATAAAAGAAAATATAAAGAACAAGTGGTGGGGAGCTATGTGTTTGTTTATCTTTGGTTTCTTTATAAGAGCAGTAAAGGTAAGAAGAGATGTGATGATAAATAGAGATTTAAAGGTGATATTTAATTGTCACCTGAAAAATTAGGAATTCTAATTCAGAAACAGTTTTTTCTTTTTTGGAAAGCAAAAGCATCCTTAATTAACTGAGACAAGACAGTATAATTAGATCTGTTTCAACTAGTATAGTATATAGTAATAATATACAATAAATAAAGTTCAATAGAGACAAATCTTTCTTTTACCTGTTTCATGTCTATTCAAATTGAATACAACTTCTAATATCTTCATTTTTTTTTATCCCTTCCTTCGACTTCTCACACAATCTTAAATTTCACTGTAACAATAAAGCCTTTCATTCAAATTTTCACTAAAAATTAGTTACTTGTCATTAAATTCAGAGTCGCTTAAATTTTAGATAACTATAAAGAGTGCTGATAAAGATATCAACTATGCTAAAAAAAATCCCAATTTTTTCATGGCATCGATTTAGGGTCAATAACAATGATCACTAAAACTACCTAAAATTTGGATCTTATAATATCATTAATGACACACCTTATTGGCAAATATTAATATTAAGAAATGTCTCAATAAAATCACAATTACAATATATATATATATATGTTGTTTGGTGTAGTGTTTGGAGGTGAGGTTGTCAACCCTCTTGTCTTAATTTCTCTATGACTATTTACTCGACCCAATTTAATTAATCATTATACTAAAAATAAATGTCTCATATTAGTTATTCATTTTACTAAAAATATATTGATTAAATCCTTTCTATATTACTTTTGCAATTTTTTTTTAAAGTGTTCATATTTATTACTCCCTATAAAACTTTTAATTAAGGAAAAGTAGAGGGGGAAAAGGTGAAAGTGGGGCATGGGCTGTTAATGTGGATTATGGTACCTGATCCTTTCTAATCACTATTTGCTTCACACACGATAAAATATGTTTAAAATGCTTATTCTCAGCACCAAATCCTACTTTAAAATTCATAGTATCTGCAATTCACCCTTACTTTTATCATTTTAATCGACTTCCCAATTTGTTTTTAGATATACAGGTCAAAACTAAATTTTTTTTTTTACCTCATTATCTGTCTTTTTCTCCTTTTCCCATTTTTTCCCAATATCAGGAAAGTTAAAAAAAAAAGGAAAAGAGAAAAAACTTTTTATCCTCATTTAAAATAGTGATGGCCAATTCCCCTTTCTAACAATAAAAAAAAAAAGAAATGCAAACTAGTCTACAACCAAATTAGTGCTAATTTTTTTTAAAAAAATGCTTGATAACAAAGGAAAATACTTTAAAGATGCTTCTTTCTTGACTTGGTAAATCAATATTTCAAAGTTAAATTGACTTCCACCTCATTAATATGTTGAATGACATGCCACAAAATATATCCTTTAGCTGATGGAGTTGTTTTTTTTTCTTAATTAGAGGTCATGAATTTAAATTCATGATATAGAAAAATCTTTGATAGAGAGTGCTTCTCTTTGAATGAACTCTATGTAAATTTGAAATAGTCGAACTTTCAATATGAATATCAAATATCGGATGAAAATAAAAAATATATATATGTTGAATGACATAAGGTACACAACACAATGGATTGACAAGTGTGCCTTTTTTTTATCTATTCAGATTTTATTATTTTTTTAAAGTGTCTTCTTTATTCTTAAGAAAAAAAAATACGTTTGGCCTTGGTTGAATGAATTAATAAGCAGTTTTACTTGTCCAAGTAAATTAAAACATAACGTTTGATTTGTCTTGTTTGTTAGGCTGCTAGTGGTACAAAATGGGACACCCTCTTGTTGTCTTGAGCACATATCAATGACTTTTGATGTTAATCTTCTTTAAAACTTTGACAATGATATTTTAGAAGATCTTAAATGAGAAGATATTAACGTGGACCAATATATTTAAATTGAAAATTTATTTATCCAATTTATAGATCCACTGAAGGATGAGAGCATTCCCTGCCATCAACTATTTAAATTGAAAATTTATTTATCCAATTTATAGATCCACTGAAGGATGAGAGCATTCCCTGCCATCAACTGTGGTATTGTGGTGAGACGGCTTCATCTTTGATCAGAGATTTCGGGTTTGAGTCCTGATAAAAAGAAAATTTTATTAGGAGCGTCATCCCTAATGAGATTTGAAGGGCGCGATTTGGATTTAATCGGGACTCCAATGCTGATTTCGGACATTGAGTGAAAAATTAAAAAAAAAAACATTCCCTACTAATAAGGGCTTCGGACACTGGGTAGGAATTTAAAAAAAGCATAATAAATTCGGCGTGAATTATCATTTCATCTACGAACTATTGATAGTCTTAAAAACATATTTTTACTTGACTAACTGAACTTAAATACACTCCCCATCTTGCAACATACGTCAAATACACACTTAAATTCTCACCAAATTTAGGATTGTTTTCAACACCTTTTATTAAGAGTATCATTCTACCACAAAAGTTTGAGACCGCTTGTTATGTCATGTTACACTTTAGGAGTGTATCTAGATTTATTTAATCAAGTTAAAAAATATTTTTAAGACTATCAATTGTTCAAAAATATAACTAATAATTTACATCAAATTTAAGAATATTTTCAATACTATCCTCTACTAAATTTGAATTCGAAATTTCTATCTATGAATAAAACAATCTCAAAACTATTCTCTCACACTTTTGAGAAATAAGTTGAAGGAATTACGTGTGAATAAAAGATTGGTTTGATGAATTCCCAATATCTTAGGCAACTAAACCATTGCCACTCAAATAGTAAAGCATAGGTCCACACATGATAAATTCATAGACAGGTGTCCATGTTCCCTAATCAATCTTGTCTCATTTAAGTTCCACCACCTACATCTTCCTCTCACCAACTTTGGTTACATCACATTTATTAAATCTTAAGTCTCACAAAACTAACTATCATTATTTGCTAAAAAAAATTCACTAATATATATAATTACCTTACTATTATACCCACCACTACTCATGAGTATAAACATAATTATTATATTAAGATTTTGGTTCCGGTTAGTCAAATAATTAATCATATGTAGTGTCTTTTAATTTTTTAAGAGAATTGTAAAGGTAACCTTTTTTAAATTTAGTTTATTTTATAGTAATAAAAAGATTTAATGATATGATGAATAATCTTTGTGAACAGAAGTTGTCGCTTTATTGAAAAAAGGAGTTTGTCACATGCTTCAGTACGCAGTGTAGCAAGGGACAATTAATTCATATTTTCCAATGTGTATTATCAGAATTAGTGTTATTGGGGGATGCTTCTTGGAATATGAAACACAAAACAGGATCTATTTTCAATTTTGAAATACGTTAAATCAATAACAAATTAATAAGATATTTTTTATGAATTTTTGATTTATCAGTTTTTGTAATTAACAATTTAATTTTCAATTTACTAAATAAGAAATGTAATATATATATATATATATATATATATATAAAATATGAGTTCTCTTCTCTAATAATTTGGCACGATACAATGAAACAAGCAAGTCAGCTGTAAATACTTTGATATAGTGAAACAAGAAAGATAATGAAAAATTGCATCAATAAAAATAGATGCATAGTATGAAGGCTGCAATTACATGTTACAACTAAAATATAATATGGAATTTATGATGAAGTAGAAGTACGGTGAAGTGTGAAGTGTGAAGTGTGTAGAGTGTAGCGCAGAGTTCAATTATTAGTACTCTCTATGTTCTAATTTATGTGACTTACTTTCATTTTTAGTCAGTTCCAAAAAGAAATACACATTTTTATATAAAGTAACAATTTAACTATAAAATGGTTATTTTACTCTTAATGAAATAATTTACAACCACACAAATTTCTATCATTTATTTTGGACCACAAGTTTTAAAAGTTATCATTTCTTTCTTAAACTCCGTGCCGAGTCAAACTACATCACATAAAATGGGACGGAGGGAGTAATATTTATGAAGAGTAAAGTAGTAAATTACCATCGTCTTAATGGGTTATCGATTAATCCAATAACACAATAATAAAAATTGAAATTGAACCTATAATCAATAATTTTTTTATAAAATCATTAAAAATCCGTTGATCAAATAATCCAATAACAATAACCCAATAACGTTTTTTCGAGTTGATTTATTGATCGGTTTGATTTTTGCAAAACACTATTTAATGAAGTTAATATGGTCACAAAGAAATAGTGTTGCATTGAATTTAATAAATTCACAGAATGATAGGGATTTACTCCCTCTGTCCCTTTTTACTTGTCCAATTTTTTTACTGTTTACTTGTCCATTTTTACTTTTTATTTTTGATAAATCAAGAAAAGACAATATTTTTTACATACTATACCTTTAATTTATTTAAAGAGTTAATGTTTTTGAAAAAGGTAAAACCTCTTTAATGGGTAAATTGATTTAGGAATTCTATCAATTAATAGGGGTAAAATGGTAAACTCATTATGTCAATTACTATTTTCTTAATAGGTGTGTCAAGTAAAAAATGGACAAGTAAATAGGGACAAAGGGAGTAGTAGTGACTACTTCCCGTGCTCGAAATTTAAAAAGACTCATGTAGACACTAAAATTTTGTTGGACTCTACGAGACAAGACGTGTTCAATTCTAATTGGAACTCTACAATATGTGTTCAATTCTAATTAGGATTCTTGGAGCCTAAAACCCTAAACCCAGTTCATGCCTATATAAAGGGTACTAAATTCCCTTAAAAGACATCTCAAAATATCCCATAAACTCTTGGGTATTTTTAAAGATCACGATCTCGATATATTCCACAAAAGTCATGGAATATTCATATAGAGGTCAAATCTAAATCATCCTAGTTTGATAAATACGCCACTAACAACCCTCAAATCATGGATAAATCTTATGAGAGAAGAATAAATGGA